GATGAAGTACACTGCTCAGGGGAGCAGCAGGTGGGTCTGCCAGGCCATGTGGATCTCCTCCGGGGCAGGTGGGGATCGAACTCATGCGGAAGTGGCTTTAGCTTCTTAGTGCAGTGTTTTAACCCGCTGCGCCACCAGGGAGGGCCTCAAATAGGTGTTTTTAATGACCCTAAGTCATCTCCTTTTCACCCTGCACTGTGAAGGCAGAATTAAATAGTCTGCTCTGAGATCTATTAAAGATACAAAATGTCTGTCAAAGATCATCTAGGCATTCCTCAAAATAAAGTATTACTGTAACTAGATACAACAAATATTGATCTTTTAGCTAGTTTTTTCCTTAAATAAATCCTGGAATGTTAAATATAGTCTTTCCCAGGCTTCGTTTCACCTCTATTATCAGACTTGATTCCCTTACCTGCCTCAGCTTTCCCATGTCTCCTGAAGTCTCTCCTCCTGGTAAGACACACTCCTTTGGTCCAATCTGAATCAGCAGAGCCTCCAGATTGGAGAACTGGTCATTATCAGGGAATTCACACAGTCCTAACTTCCTCTGTGTGGTGTCAACATACCCAACTCCAACCTGCCTTTGGCCATCGACCGTAGACATTTTAATACCCACAACACCAATGGAGGCTGATGTATCATTGTTTCCAAAGAGAATCTCTTCAAATTGAGAAAGATTACCGGGCGAGGCCTAAGCAAAAATAAAGTTTGAGACACTGTTTAACATACTTTTAAATTTACTAGCAAACACAAATTACCCCACTCTAATGAATTAAGAAAATGTTTTCTCACCAAAAACTGCTTTCAAGCATATATTCCAAAGATTACCACATTTTCTACAAAGTATACTCCTTATATTTCTAAATATTTTCAGAACATTGGGACACAACTATAAAAAACTGTATCAAAAGCGATGGTCAGTTTAGAATTTTGCAGTTGGGTTTATACACATAACCAATAAGGTGCCTACAGTGATGATCCCTTTCATGCTATGCTCATATTTCTACATTCTGCTAACTACCTACTGGTTGCACATGTCAGTATTTACTGAGTAGGTATCCCCCCACAGCAGAGCAGCTTTATCAAGCTTATATATGGACCTTTAAAAGTCATCTCTATATACAATATATTTATCTGTAAGATGCAGAGATTGTTCTAGATCAGTGATTGCTAAATAAAGGGTCTTTGAACTATTTCTGTATTTCCAAAAAGCTGGAAATTTCTCTCTAAGGTTATCTAAGCTAACTAAAAGGTCAAATTCCTTTGCTTTTGGATGAACTTATGTCAAGTTAGTGGGTGACAATTCCAGACTTCAACCTGATAAATTGTTGCTAATGAGGGACTTCTGGGGCACATGATGGACCATGGTATGGAACATGGGACAGTTACAAGTGGTCCAGAAGAGCACAGTGACAGCCAAATTTAAGCAACCATTAGTCACGAGTGCCATGATTATGGTAATTATTTCTTTTCCTGATATGGTTCTGAATCCCCTGTAACTATGCATAACTGAATAAATCTAGACCTAAAAGGAAAAATGTGTTATCTGATGTTGAAGTAAAAACAGCACTGATGCATTCTATCACAGGCATAAGCCCTCAATTTCTTCCTGACCTAAGAGAGTTGAAAGACATGAGGAATAAAGTGACAATCATGCATTCACTGAGCTTATGATCGAAAATGCCGCTATTGTTACTAGCCGATTTTTGTGAAAAATTAGAAAACATCACTTTGTGAACAACTTTCAATTAAACCCTTCTAGGACAAAGGCTAATTATAATACTCTAAGTAAAATTCTACTTTTTTCTGTATACTCGAAATAAAAATTCCTAAGAAACTCCATAATATAGAATACTAAATTCTCCCAAATGTCATCTTTAGTATATTCACAGGGGCTGGGAACAAAATGGAGTAACAACTGAGGAATACTGTACCTGTGGCTGCACCAACATCAAATATCTAAATAGTGTATTAAATCTCACAAGAAAAAACTCACAAAACTTTTACGACAGAAAGCATCGAATTTTTTCTAACTTTCATCTTTCTAACTTTCTAATTTTACTTGCTTATGAAGAAACAGATATAGAAGGCTGGAAAATTTGCCAAGGTTCACCCAGAGGAACAGGAGAAAAGAAATGAAATCTGCTGACTACAAGTCCAAAGCACTGTCCCCCTTAACCCCATTTGTTTCCTTTAATAATAAATCTCACCATCCTAACATTTTAACTACTCGTTTATTCCAGTATTTATTTAGACCTACCCTGTGAAAGCGTTGTGTACATAAATAAAAGCACAGCTTTATAGACTAGTAAGGAAAACAGTCATTAAATAATATTTTTTAAAAATAGCACTACTATGTCCTTGAAGCCACTAGACATGCATGTCAATGAGCCATTCTAGGTATACCAAGGAATAAATGGCCATTAAACGAAGATCCAGACTTATAAAAAGTACAAGCTAGTGGGACAGAAAGGACAAATGTGTATAAAAGAGATTTGGGGGGACATTATAAATTTGTCCTTGTTCAATGCTGGTATTCCATCTTAATAGAAAGGCTATTTGTGTTTCCAGGACTAAGACAAAGTTCAGAGCTCTCATGTTCATTTTTTAACATCTGAATTGCTATTAAACTAATTTTAAAAAACACATACTAAAGAACATTAAAATCTCAAAGCATTTTACTATTACAATGTGGTTAAAATATTAAAACAGTTATCTCACTTTAACTCTTAAAAAAAACTAAATTTAAAAAAGAATATAGTTACCTTAAATGCCAAATACCAATCATTCTCCTTAGAAGCCTTATTTCCAGCTCTATTCTTATAAACTTCAACTCTATACTGACGAACTAGAAGAAGATCTTTTACAAAAGATTCAAAATTCATTTTACTAAGCACAACACTCTCCAGAGTCTTTGCTCCTAAAGAAAAACATTTAAAAATATACATTACTGATTTGATAGTGTCCAAAAACCTAGTGCCCCAAAGAACACTGCTGTTTCAGTAATTCACTCATTCAATTAAGTGTTTAGCAAGTACCTATTACACGTTTTAGGAATTTCAGTAAATAAGAACAAAAAGTGGTGAGGAGACAGCCTCCTACTCCTGTGGAGTTAATACATCAAAATAAAAAATTTTCGAGGAGAGACAAAAATAAAAGTAAACAAACACATATGTAGCTAACCTTACTTCATTCTTATATTTTTCATGGGTTTAAATAAAGTCTTATATAATTACTTAGTGTTTATAAAGAATTAATTTTTTTTTCAAAAGGGAATCTATTCCCAAGCATAGTCTATGCACAAAAAAAGCATTACTTTTTGCTTTTAATGAGTAGTTGCAAGTATGTTCCATCTTACTGGGTTTTATTTTAATATATTTTGGAGACTTCCATCAGTAATTAATCAGTTTCTTTCTGTTTACAGCCACAAACATTCCAGTGATCCTAATGTTCCTGCTGGTATACATAGTGGTGTTTCTAGTCTTTGCTATTAAAACATGCTGCCTAAACAACCATGCACATGATTCATTCTCCAAAGATGAGGATATCTGTAAAATCCTTAAATGATTTTACCAAAGAGTTTTTGTGAGTTTAGCCAGGCTGACCCACCTGGTTGTGCCAGCTAACACTACCACCCATACAGTATGAGTGTATTTTCCCTATCCGGTCAACAGAGTTCTCAAATTTCGGTATCTTCACCTTGGATCACTGATTCTTAACTGAGAGAGACATTGCTCCTTGAGCAGATATTTGGGTTGTCACCACTGGCAGGGATGTGTTAGAGTACAGGCCAGTCCCCCACAAGAATCATTCTGCCCAAAATGTCAATAGTTGCTGACACTGAGAACCTACCTTAGCTGGAAAAGCGTCTCACACCTTAGTTTTGATTTACAAAACACATTATTGTAAAATCTTTGGTTACATTTCACTTTGGATAGTGAAAGCTGCAAGAAACCAGTCCCAGGAAACAGTGGTACAGTTGTGGCTTTGAGCTCCTCTCTCTTTTTTTTTTAGTTATTTCAAGTCATTTCAGCAATTTTTAATAACTAATTATCCATCCTTTAATAACTCATTATTCTAACCTAAGTAAATATTAAGATAATCTTTTACTTTCTTAAGATTATGCCTTTGGCATAAATGTCTAAGGTGAAAAACTGATACTTGAAAATAACACATCTAACCGACAATCTCTTTGCAAAGCTAAATTCACCTTTAAACACATTCTCACTTATGATTAAGATGGAGTGACTATAGTCTTAGAAATGTCCTTGGTACTCACATTTTAACCCTCAAAGGCAACAAAAGAAAAACTGTGTGTTTTTTAAAGCTATACTCCTCCCCTCACCCCAATCTACACTCCAATCAAAAAAAGATTCTCGGTTGCCTGTATTAAATTTCCTTCCCAATAAAAAGATGTAATGCTTAACATCCATTATTCCTTTCACAATTTAAACAGAAAACCAAAAGTATTAGAACAGGTACTTAGAAAAAAACAGTGACCTAATTTACCAATAACCAAATATATTCAGAACTTTTTACATCATTTTAAATGCTTTAAATTAAATAAATGCTTAAACTATTATAAAATGCGTAATACAAGGATTAAGAGGAGTGAAGTGCCTCAGAGTTGAATAATCAGGGTCATAATCCCTGTAAAATCAGAAAACTTTGACCATCACTAAACTGTGAAAACAATGAGAATCTCTGCTTGGTCTTAACTGGTCCCCAACACACCTGTACCTTACAACCCATTCTTCACACTACAGTCTATGCCACCCACAACTAACTGTATTTCAACCTCTCTTGCCTTCAATACAAAATTTCAACATCTCAATCCAGCCTTAAAGCTTCCATCATCTGATCCCATCATCTGGACCATTCTCACTTTCTGCTCCATTTGAAATACTAACATTCAGGTTCTCTCCCCAGCAAGCTCCTAGACCTAACTCCTTATTCCCTATAAAATTCTCCTATCATGATCACAATGGAGCCAAGAGGTAAAAGAGATCAAGATGAAAGTCTAGAACGTCAATTCCATAGGGCGAAAAGAGATGATGGTAGAGAGATGGGGCTGAATTCAAAGCTGAAGCAGTTTACAGGACTAACCCAACGTAACATATCTAGTAAGTGGAACGGCAGGACATGATTCCAGACACTGTGGCTAGAGTCCCAGATCCGACCACTTGCCATACTGCCTTTCAACATAAACAGGTGCCGTGCGGGAGATCAGCAGTATAAATGAAGTTTGGGCAAAACGACGTTGCTGACATAAAATGGTCTCCCCCTTTTATGCTCAAGCTCCCTCCTGGACTGGTGTGTGTACTAAAGATGGTTAACGCCGTTTCTGATGTGATCTGAAGGGCCAGGGCTAGATAGAGAGCCACGCGACTGCTGGAAAACTAAATAGAAAAACGTATCAAAACGCCTGGCAGGTTGTGAACACGTCTCCCAACGTGCTCTTAGTAGCTGGATTCAGGGGCAGCTGAGGGACATAATCAGGATGGAGGCAGGACAAGATGAGCGGGCTGGGGCAGCAGGTACCAGATCTGCTCCGGGAGGGGGGCGAGGGGAACCCGAGAAAACACTCTTCCCACGAGGCACCAACGTCCCCGCCCCCCGGCCAGAGGCCCGCTCACCGCCCACTTCCTGAGCGGAACCCAAAGCACGGGTACCCCCCCTCCGCAGGGGCCCCTGCCCTCACCTGCCGGGCCCATGTACTTGACCACCCCCTGGGTCTTGAACACCTCCCGGGCGGCCAGCAGCGCGTCCTCGCCGTGCGCCGTGTAGAAGTCGCCCCGGTCAAAGAGGCGCACTGTGGTGGTCGGCTTCTCCGGCATGCCCTGGAAGAAGCGCACGAAGCCGGCCTCGGCCGCGCTTTCCAGCTGCAGCGTGTCCTTCGGCTGGACCGCCATTTCGGAACCTCCCAGCAGCCCGACCCAGGGACCTGCACGACCCCGCTCCCGCAAAGCTGTTTCCCGCCTCCCCTCCCTGGTCCCCCTGCGGCGTCAGGCCGCAACAGAGGCAACCAATCATCAATCAGCCCTGCGTTTTGGTAGGTGGGTCTCCGCCTCAGCAGCCAATCACAAACGGACGCGGCCCAGCTTCCCGCGCACGCTGGTGTCTCTCTAGTGCGCATGCTTGAACCTAAACGCGGCTGACCCTAGGAGAATCCCCTGTTTAAAGGATTTAAATTCTCCGGGTTTTCTCGACCGCACAGGCATGTAATCTAGGTAGAACGTAGTTAAAGCAGGCCACCTGGTGGGCAGTTCTGGCGGGTTTTGAGTTCGTACCCGGAAGCATGCGAGTGAAATCAGAAACTTGAAAACAAACAAAAAATAATCTTCCTCTCTAGGCCAGTATCTTTTTCAAAATCGGCCTCCTTCTTATCCTACAGTCTCTTTTTTCCTTCTGAAACTGCCAGCATCAAATACAGGTTTATTCTCCACAAATTTCTTACTGCTCTTTTCTAGCCAAATCCTTTCTGTTTTGCCCATTCCTTGATTGATCATGCAAAAACATATTTATGTAACCTGCCGTGTGCAGCTAAGATCTGAAGCTCCTAGTAAAGAAAGATTACTGCTTGTTAAGCTTACATTCAAACGAGTGGCTGCAGAAATATATAGTGGATAAGTTATATAGTAACTACAGTTGTACCTCTGTATCCACCTGGGAACTGACTGTAGAAACCTCTTGATGTCAAAATCCACCCATGCTCAAGTCACATCTAAAAGAGCGTAGTATTTTCATATAACCTACGCACATTCACTTGTATGTGCTATGAAAATAGATGTGTTATGGTACCATTTAGGGAATATTGACAAGGAAAAAGTTTGTATACGTTCAGTACAATCACCCTAGGGCAAACTACATGACAGTGTATTTTTTTTTTTAAAGATTTATTTACTTATTCATACAGAACTGGGGTACAGGCCAGAGATGTGGAGGGTGAGAGGATTCACCAGAAACAGAGTGGGGAGCAGAACAGGCAGATCGACGAAGTACACTGCTGAGGGGAGCAGCGGGCCCGGCAGGAGAGGTCTGCCTTGCCATGTGGATCTCCTCCGGGGCAGGCAGGGATCGAACTCATGCGGAAGTGGCTTAAGCTTCTTAGTGCAGTGCTTTAACCCACTGCGCCACCAGGGAGGGCCCATGACAGTGTATTTTTAATCAAAGGCTGGTTTAGTAGATGGATGAACAGATATAGGAGGGTGACAGCAAGCTGATTAATGTTGGGAGTGACCAAATGAGCAGATTTACTTAGGGACTGGATAAAGGCAATAATAAATCAGGCCTTGCATCCAAATGTGATAAGGCGGTAACAAATTGGGCCTTGCATCCAATTAACAGGGACCTTGCATCCAGGATGGGACTAGCTGAAGGTGATAACTGGGCCTCACATCCAAGTTTGATAAGGAACTGGGCCTTATATCAAAGGACACAGCGATGAGTCACCCCTTTGGACTGTGAACCTAGGATCTATATAAGAGACCCTCCCCCCTTATTGAGTTGGCAGTAGCTGCCACCCTAGGGGCTCCATCTTAGCTGCTGTCCGGGAGCAATAAACTCTGCTTGCTCAACCTTTCTGCCTTTCGTCTTTCTTTCTTGTGGCCGGTCACAGAAGTTGGGGCAAAACAACACTTTAATGTTTAGGAAAAAATAAAGATCGAAAAAAAAAATTTTTTAATACAACATACACATTTTATATTAACTTTATTAAGATTTATTTTTTATATATCTATGCATACAAGCACTGGGGTACAGGCCAGAGGTGCCGGGGTTGAGAGGATTCAGCAGAGACAGAGTAGGGAGCAGAACATGCAGATGTACTGAAATATACTGCTGAGGGGAGCTGTGGGTGAGCCAGGAGAGGTCTGCTGAACCACCTCCCTGGCTGGGGATCCAAAACCTCCCTGGCTGGGGAATCCAACCAGTAATTGCAGTGGCTGGCAATGGGCAGCAAGAGGCTTCACCAGAGACAGAGTGGGGAGCAGAACAGGCAGATCTACGAAGTACACTGCTGAGGGGAGCAGCCGGCGGGCCAGGAGAGGTCTGCCACGCCATGTGGTCACCTCCTGGGCAGGCGGAAATCGAACTCATGCTGAAGTGGCTTTAGCTTCTCAGTGCTGTGCTTTAACCCGCTGCACCACCAGGGAGGGCCGCATTTTCTTTATTTTTAAATGTGTTTAATGTTTAAGCTAGGTATTAGCTGCTCTTATATTCCAGTGAGGAAACTGAAACTTGGAGATGTGAAGAACTTTCCTAAGAGCAGAGGTATTATCTATCTCTGCCTTTAAAACCAAAAGGGTAGGGCCCTCCCTGGTGGCACAGCCTGGAAAAGCACAGCACTAAGAAGCTAAAGCCACTTCAGCATGAGTTCCATCCCCAGCCGGGGAGGTGACCACATGGTGTGGCAGACCTCTCTGACCTGCCCGCTGGAGCAGCGGTGGACTTTGTCGATCTGCCTGTTCTGCTCCCCAACCTGTCTCTAATGAAGCCTCTCACCAGCCCTGCCCTCTGGCCTGTACCCCAGTTCTGTATGCATAAATAAATAAATTTAAAAAACAAAAAAGGTAGAAGGTATCCACAACAGAGCCAGACTGCAAAGGACCTTGTATGCTCCTTTGGGGAAAGAGTATATTATTTTTGTTGTATAAAACTGTTAAAAGACAAAGACAGGAGAGCACCATGTGGGTTAGCTCCATGGCTGGGGATTGAATTCATGCCTCAGTGCCCGATGATAGCTTGATAGCGCTGAGACTTGAACCCCTGCACCTCCAGGAAGGCCCCTACAGGTATTGATTCATGATGAAAACTTGCAGCCTATATGTTATAATTCAATGTTATGTCAATAAAATTTTTGTCTTAAGTGCTATGACCAGCTTTAAGCAAATCATTCTGAGAGTAATGGGGAGTTTGAGAAAGGGAATAGTAAAAAGACCTGCAAAATTTAGCGGCACATTTATTCCTGAGATAGAATTACAGGACCTGGTGACCAAAGGAAGAAGATATCAATGCCATTAACTGATTCTAAGAATACAGGGGGTAAACTTGGTTTGTGAAAGATGATGAGATTGTTAAAGGCTAAGGTAAGTGAAACAGACAATTCAGTTGTGAACTCAGGATGAGAGACAGTAATGGAAATGGTATTTATTATCTAGGCTTAAATGGTAATTAAGGCAAAGAAAAGATGAAATCCTCCAGGAAATCCAAAATTAAGGATACATCTTGGTAACAGTATTTTGGAGAAGAGGAAAATAACTAGAGGAGACCAATATATACCAGAGAAGCCAGAGAAAAATTGTATAAACATCTTGTGATAGAAAGTAGGGCAGTCACAGTGATAAGGTATGGAAAGATCAAATGATTAAACATTGGAGGAAACAGTCCATTGGCAGTTAGTAAATTCAGTACTGACTTTGGCCAGAGCAGCTTCACAAAGACCAGAGATATAGTAGAAATTAGAGAACGCTGCATTGAAGTGTCTCTAAACTTCAAATTAGCACTTTTTGCCTGCTCTGTAAAAAATTAATTGGAAGTTGTCAGTAGAGGGCGCTGGAGAGACACTACAAGAAGAAAGAGTAGTGTTTCCCTTGCAGCATCAGGAGCTTCTCCATCACCTGATTCTCTTAGCTGGAGTGGCTTCTCCAGCCACTGGTCCTCCAGGAATGGACAGCAGCCAATAGCTTCCTAGCACCTCACTCACACACCAACTATAAAAGGCAACTTTATATCAAGAGGCTTAGCTTCCTAATAGAATGCCTTTGGTATCTGCTGAGCTATCTCCCTATGAATAGCTTATACCCTAGTACTTTAGAGCAGAGACCAACAAACTTTTTAAAGGACCACAGTAAATATCTTAGGCTTTGCTAGTCATTCAAGTTTGTTAGAACTACTGACCTTCTGCTGTCATTCAAGACAGCCACACACCTTATATAAACGAATGTAGCTGTGCTCCAACAAAAACTTTATGGACACTAACATTTTACTTCACATAATGTTCGTGTATCATGAAATGTTTTTTTTCCAACTATTTATAAATGCAAGAACGATTCTTAACCCTATGCTGCATTACAACAGGTGCTGGGATAGCCTACTTGGCTGTAGTTAATGACTCCTACTCTAGAAGGCATTTCCAGCAAGTTCCACAAAGCAGATTTCCACAAGTTCTGCCAGTGCCCCATCACAGTGACTTCTCTGCTAGTCAGTGAACACAGTGCCCTCTTCCATAAGGTCTGCATCTTAGGGTGTGGGCTTGGGGTGAAGTAGAAAGATTCTCTTCTTTGGATGTTCCCTTAGCCCCAGGAAATAGTTGTTGCTGTCAGTATCTGCTACTCCTATTGCCTTTTATGTGCCTTTTGTTATTAGCTGTATTAAATTCTACCGCAAATTTACCATCTAACACAGTAACATTTACCTGTTGTTATGGGTCAGGAGACCAACATAATATAACTGAGTCCCTTTCCTCCCAGCCTCCGGACTACATGAAGGTGTTAGCCAAGGAAGCGAGTCATCTGGAGCTGGGTGCTCTTCAATGTTAACTGGTTGGCAGTTCAGTCCCTGGTCATGGGACCGAGACCCTCAGCTCCTAGTCAGCCTACTGGGTGATACTCTCCACAAATGGCTTTGTTTTAAGGCTAACAGGAGCAACCCTGCTATTCCTACTTGTCTTTTAACTTCAGACAAGATATCAAAAGGCTCACCTTATTGGGACAGGTTCTCTCAATTATCTCCCTTTTACATTATTAGGGACCTTAATTACATCTGCAATTCTTCACCTTTGCCACAATAATGTAATCTTGGGAGTAAGAGGTGATCATACTCCTAGGTCTCCCCATAATCTAGGAGAGAGAATTACATAGAACATATTATATCAGTGGTAAGAAATCTTGGGGGACATCTTAGAATTGTGCTAACAGGAGAGGTTAAAAGTCATAGATAATTGTTTAAATTTAGTTTTTATACTTTTTCTTTAAAATTTCCTAAAAAAGTATTTTGGGATACTCTAATTTCATATGAAATTAATAGTTTTATGTAAAATGACTGCTGACTTTCATTCAAGCATACAATTCATAATTCATGGTTCATAACATACTCTATTTCTGCTTCAAGATATTTGCTAAATGTCAATCTTTGTCTAAAATAGAACCTTAGCTTCAGAGTATAACTGTTTTCTGTGTAGTTGTTACATGTTATTGGTTATCATTTTATATTGAATATACATGATTAGTTAGCATTCAGAGCATTTCTTAACCTAGCATGTATATACTGTGAACTCTGGTTCAATAGGATTCAAACAGAGGAAATTTAATTTTTGGAATGTTTTATTTCACAGTTCATAAAAAAAGTATATGTACAGTGACTAAAAGTAAGAAGGCAGGTTTTAATCACAAAGTCTTCATATTCTACTGTGGAAGGATATTTAATGCGCACTCTTTATTTGATGTCATGCCTAATTTTAACTATGCAAGATTGCATAGTAAACAAGTTCTGGGTTTTACATCAGATCTGCATATATCTAACACATGTGGTCAAATTTTAAGATCGATAAGCAATTTCAAGCTGCTTATATTTAAAAGTAGAGTGACGTTTCAATATTACAAATATGTAATGTTAAGCTAAGAAAGCAGATCTTGAAGGGATTTTCTTGTCCCATGCTCACACATTTGTAATTGAGTCCAAATTTCCCTCCTTGCAGTTACTCTTCAGATGACAGCAGCTATGCATGGGGTGTCCTATGCATCTCACCCATCTCCTTTACCTGAAAATATAAGGGAAAAAGAAAAAAATTAAATGCTTTCTAATATTTTCTTCATTCTGAAAATATCTTTTTATTTTTAAGAAAAGAGTTTATTTCATTTATTTATGCATAGAAGAACTGGAGTATAAACCAGAGGTATGAGGATGAAAGGATTCACCAGTTGGGAGATGCACAGGCGGATCTACTAAACACACTGCTGAGGGAGCAGTGGGCAAGACAGGAGAGGTCTGCTATGCCAAGTGGGTCAGCTATCTGCCCAGGGATTGCAGCAGTGACTATGATAACTTGATAGCACTGAGACTTTAACCCCTGTGACAGGAGGGAGGCCCCTTCTGAAAATATTTTTAAAAATTAGAAGAGGAAGGCAAGATGATGCTCCTCTACATTTATAACTTATTTGAATTCAAAGATTTACTACAAAGAGGCAGACCTTGAATGCATAATTCAACTGCTATTTAGTGAAGATGGCCAAGGTGGCCTAGATCTTTAAAAATAGTTCAGATTCTTATTAATGTAGACCATGTTTACATCTAGGAAGAATCATTTCCTATTACTACTCCTTTTATAAGTGAGGAAACTGAAGTTCAGAATTAAGTCACTTAGGCCACATAATAATGACAGGTAAAACTGAGACAAGATGCTGGCAGACATTTTGCTCTGGGGTAAGCATGGGGTCAACACTTTTCAGATTACTTTGTTTAATCCCTAAAATGGATTCACACTATTATCCCCATTTTACAGATAAGCAAACATGGGGGCTTACAAAAGATAACTTATCCAGTAAACAAGTGGTCAAACCCAGGTCCTAACCACACTACCTTATCATTTTTACTTCCTTGTGCTCTGATTCAGTTCAGGAATACTCCCCCAGACCCATGGTCACCAAACCAGGTAAGCCAGATGACTATGTCATGTAAAGAAAATGTTGGAATTTTCTAGTTCTATTAGGATTTTCCCCAACATTCTTTAATCTTGTGTTATTTAGTAAAATATTAGTAAAGAGCATATATAGAATCACAACTGTATATGCAAAATATTGGTATAGTGAAAATGTTCTTGATAGGGTTTAGAGACAAGTGTGTTCGTATCCAAGGGACTATAATACATTAACGGCTACACACTTTGAATCAAACTAGTATGTGTGACTATTTAGTATGTAGCAGATTTTCAAGGCCATGTAGTAAGTTCATTTTTAATGATTATTATTTCACTGGTGCAGAGACAATAAATCAGGTCATTAGTCATACTGAGTTTCTCAGATGTGAATTCACTAGTGTATGCATCTAAAAGATTCCACTCAATACTGACACTATGTAAAGTAAAAATCAGACTTCCTAACCTCCTATTTTATGAGAGAGAATTCAATATAAAGTTGTCTGCCAAGTAATTCATGCGAGAAAATTGAGGTAACAGCCCCCTGTAGGATTATTCCTAAAACCTTCAGGTCTATACTATGAAGGGACTTCATTATATTGAGACCCACCAATGTATATGACGGTACATTATTAGGTGCAAGAAGATTAGTAAATAAGATCCTTTTATTTATTATTTATTTATTATCCTTATTTATTTATTAAACAGTCCATTTACCTCAGCCTTCTCGTATTTAGCTGTCCTGTTTCTTTTGGAAATAACCTGAAAGAAAAATTAATAACATATTAGATGCTACCCAAATAAAAAGCTGATCTAACTTGCTTTCAATAGGCATGATTCCTATCTGGCCAAATTCGATAAAAAATATCTTTACAGAGACATTTTTTTTTTGTAAAGTTTCTCTATTAAACTTTAAAAAAAAATTAGAGAACAAAATGCATCAAACAACAATGAATAATCTATAATTAATCTATTAATTAATTCAATAGCATGGTGTGTGCATTCTTTTTCCACATTTATACATTTGTATCCCTAGATAAAAATGTATATATATAAACATGCATATAATTTGGGAACATGCAAAATTATTTCCCCTCTTTATCAACATTAAGAATCCTTCCCAGCCCTCCCTGGTAGCACAGCGAGTTACAGCACAGCACTGAGAATCTAAAGCCGCTTCCGCATGAGTTCAATTCCTGCCTGCCCGGAGGTGACCACATGGCGTGGCAGACCTCTCCTGACCCGCCCGCTGCTCCCCTCAGCAGTGTACTTCGTCGATCTGCCTGTTCTGCTCCCCACTCTGTCTCTGGTGAATCCTCTCACTGCCCCTGAGCCTCTGGCCTGTACCCCAGTTCTGTATGCACAAATAAATAAATCTTAAAAAAAAAAAAAAAAAAGAATCCTTCCTAATCAAAAATGATAAACTCATTCCTTTTAAGAGCCACTGTATTCCACAGCACGGACAGGCCAGTTTCCGCATTCATTCTTCCACCCAATGTACACTTCAGTCTTTTCCAAATTCACCCTGACCAGCAATTCTGCGATATATAACCTCGACCATGCTCGTAAGTACTTTTGTTTTCATTTCTATTGGACAGTTAGATTTTATGATCAGTCTTTCATGTGTTTACTTACCATGTGCTATTCCTCTTCTGTAAATTACCTATCCTTTGTCCTTCTTCCTTTAGTTACTTCATTAATTTGTAATAATTCTTTATTTATGCATATCCTTCTGTACATTGTGACTTTCCCCCAAGCTTATCATTGCTGTTTTTTATTCTGTAGTATCTTTTCCATATAAAATGTCTAATTTTAATGAAGTTAAATGTTTATATATTCCTCAACAAATTAAAGATTTCTTGTCCCTTGCTTGGTTTCCTTTAACCACAAGGATGTGCCAACATTTCCTAAATTAATTTTGAGATTTGTTTTGAATTCCACCACCTTTAACTATGAATGAGCTAGAATTTGAACATGGGTACACTGTCCAATTTCTTACACACTGCTGTGCTCCATAATGTGCCATTCACACATAACTGAGCCCTGCTAGGGGAATATACAGTCACCATTTCAACATTTTTCTAGATTGATAAAAAAGTGCAGTAATTTCACTACACTGAAAATGTTAAGTCTTACATACCTTCAAATCTATTTCTGAAATCTGATATATCAGCAAGATTTGCTAAATGCTGAAGCTTCCTTACATTTTTAGAAAAAACCCTGCATCAATAGGTAATAACAATGGTTTGAAGCACTGCTAGATTCAATTTACTGCTCTTTTATTTAGAATTTTGCTTCATATTTACCATTTTTAACTTTTCTATGCTAATCTTAATTTTGTATCCTGTATTTTCATTTCACTTAACGATTTGGGAGTTCAGGTAGTTTGCATTAATTTTGGTAAGAGTGACAAACTATTTGTAGAAAGAAGAAATGATGAACATTTGCTGCTTTGGGAAACCTACTAAGAGACATATGAGGTGCTAAGTTTTTTCCAAATTGGTATTCTTTCTTGTTTTGTAAATGACTATTAAATAAAAAGCACCAGATAAAATACTCATTCATGACAGAGAATTGTTAAAAAGATTTAGTTTCATTCAAGTGTTTTGAAATGTGGATACAGATTTTTCATGTCATCACCTTACCCTGAAACAATATTACCCTTAAATGAAATTTTACTTGCTCTGTACTCACCAGCACAACAATTCCTGCAATAACTGCTATGGCCACAACTACAATGACAGCAATAATACCAGCCTGTAGACCCTGCATTGAAAATTCAGGCGGTTTTTCATCTACATAGTAAATGAAAGCTTTGCTAGCATCCAGATCCAGCCGTTCCCCATTTACTGTTAGGTCCAGTTTTTTGGAAAGAAATAAGGATTCATCTTTAACCTATAATGAGAAGGAGAAAAACAATTTAAAATATGCAAGAAGACCAATCACGGCCACATATTATTATATACCAGATGCAGACCAAAAGAACTGTTAGTCAAGAATCTATAAGATTTTAGTGATAACAAGCTCATACACGGGAACTTTAAAAGAAACTTTATTAATGGGAAAATTTCAAATATATACTAACGTATAAAGAATGGCATACTGAAGCGTGTATGCTTTTCACCCAAATTACAAATATATAGCCCATCTTATTTTAGCTATTTTTTCTATCCTTTCTCCTTCAGCTGTCCCCAGTCAGAATTCCCAAGTTTCATCAGGAAACAGCTCACTGTATTAACATCTAAGTGAACTACCTTAATCATTTCCAGCTACAGCTTTTTTTTTTTTTTTAACTATTTCTTGTTCATGGTAGTTGTAACAGGATGTGTTTTTTAAAACTAAGCAACTACCAAGGAGGTAACTAAGTAATTAAGATATTCTAGACAGATCAACTTGATAAAAAAGGATAAAAAAACAAGAAATATGTTTAAGAAAGATACGTGTGAAACAGAGAACAAAATTACAACTCTAACTACTTGGTAAATATGGTTGACCTGTAGGAGAAATAGGTGATGAAAGACTTTAAGCATTTGATGCATGATAGAGGACTCTACATTTCTAAAAGGGGAAACAAAATGAAACTACTCACATCTTTTTCAAGATAATAAGCCACATCAGCGATGTCAACATCACTCTCAGATTTCTGAGAAGCATTTTGCTTCAGATCAATAGTGATAATATCATTCTCATACTGAGAGAAAAAGAATACAAATTAGTAACCTAAGCAAAGGTATTAAATATCATTAATCAGAATATTCAGTTATGATTGAGTTTATCATTAATAATTTAATAAATCTTTGGGAAGTCTTTGAATCTATTCAAGGAAATTAAGAAAGCAATGCAAATGAAGGTAATTATAACGCATATTTTTCTCTTCAAAAGACAATTTTCTCATAAAATTTTAAAAGATTTTTAAAAAATTGATTTATGCTTAGAGAACTGGGGTACAGGGCAGAGGTGTGATGGGTGAGAAGATTCACCAGAGACAGAGTGGGGAACAGAACAGGCAGATCTACTGAAATACACTGCTGAGGGGAGCAGTGGACAGGTCAGGAGAAGTCTGCCACGCCATGTGGGTCAGCTCCATGGCCGGGGATGGAACTCATGCTGCAGTGGCTTCTGAGAACTTCACAGCACTGTGCTTTAACCAGGTGCACCACCAGGGAGAGCCCTTAAAAGATATCAATGTAACTTATTTGGTTAGAAGGACTTTAAAACTAAAATGCTAAAGAAAATGAGGTATACAGGGCCCTCCCTGGTGGCGCAAGGGATTAAAGAACAGCACTCTGCAGCCACTGCAGCATGAGTGCGATCCCTGGCCAGGGACCAAACACACATGGCATAGCAGATCTCTCCTGTCTTGCCCACTACTCCTCTGTAGTTTATTTTAGTTGATCCGCCTGTTCTGTTCTCCACTGTGTCCAGTGAGTCTTCTTACCTCCTCCCCTGATACCTTCGGCCTGTATCCCAGTTTTTGTATGCATAAATAAATAAATCTTTGAAAAAAAAGAAGAAAATCTTACATCAATGTTTGTGATATATTTTTGATCCAGCTGATAACGAGTTGAAATTACCTCCTTGAGTGCACTGTAATTAAAAATCTATGTTAAAAATAAGAATACTACACAACATTAAGAAGCACTACTTTTAAACTAAACAGTTCACAGTCTAGAATTGTCATTAACCGAATTTACTTAAAATTTTATGTCATATTGCAACTATCATGATAGTAACTGACCAGGCCAGAATCATCCACTGATGCTAAAAATGTTGAATTCCAGTTTGATTAGAAACTGGATGTTTACACTATCCAAGTTTTTGCCCAGGTATATTATATTAATAAGAAAGGAAAACACAAGTTCACATTGGAGAAACCTGGCTGACATCACCTTTATCAGTTAACATCACTACTAGTAAAAGGACAAGCTGCCTGCAGAACACAAGATCCCCTGAGTCATTTTTCTGTCAAAAAATGTGTAACTTGTATTTCACTAAGAGGAAATGTCAGACAAATCCAAATTTGAGGGATACTCTACAGACAAAGCCCAAGACAGCATTCCATGTTAACAGAGAATAAGCCATGACTTCTGAATGCAGTATATGCTCCAGATTTGGGTCCCTGGGTCAGCAGGGGAAAATTTGGGAACAAAGGACAACATTGGGAAAGTTGGCACAGTTTGGTATAACATTCCATTTCCAAAATTGGTAACTGCAGCGATTATAAAAATGCCTTTTGTTCCCAGGAAAAGATACACTAAAATATTCAGGTATGAATGGGCATGATATCTACAACTTATTCTTAGATGGTTCTGGGAAGAAAAATATGTATGCTTAGAAAGTACACACACATACTCAACATATATACATATAAAAGGAAAATGGAGAAAATGTTTATTGGTGACTCTGAATGAGGGTACTATAAGAATCTATACTATTCTTGAAACTATTTCCAAAATAAGGTTAAAAATATAGTATCCTTGGGCCCTCCCAGATGGTGCAGTGGGTTAAAGCACTGCACTAAGAAGCTAAAGCCACTTCCGCATGAGTTCGATTCCCACCTGCCCCGGAGGTGACCACATGGTGTGACAGACCTCTCCTGACCCGCCCGCTGCTCCCCTCAGCAGTGTACTTCCTCGATCTGCCTGTTCTGTTCCCCACTCTGTCTCTGGTGAAGCCTCTCACCCTCCACATCTCTGGCCTATACCCCAGTTCTCTTTTGATACATAAATCTTTAAAAAAAAAAAAAAATATATATATATATATATAGTATCCTTTCCAGAAATATATGAAACAGCATTAAGAGTTTAAATTTCTAACAGTATAGGGTAGGGGATTTGTGCAAATATTCAATACTTACGTCTTCAAACTTTCTATATCAAAGGGTTTTTCTCTTGCTTTGTGTTTTAATTCAATCATGATCCAGCTGTAAAGTAAAAAGACAGTATTGACTATAACAACTGTTTATATTATTTTGCTAAAGGGTTAATACTAAAATTTCCAAAATTATGAATTACCAGAGAGGTAACAGAAAAGGGATTTATATATTAAATGTGCCCTTCATTTCTCTCTCGGCCCTCAGAGCTTATAGGCCGGAACACCCATTCCAACACTGACTCTGCATACAACATACAAGGTCATATAAAGTCAAGGATTAGCTGGTTGCATTGGGCCATATTCTAGTGAAAAGACAAAAAAGATACTGAAATAGAGAAAGTGACCCAGAGGCTCCAGAAGACAGAAGTGGGGAAATGCCTGTCTGTTGTCAGATCTTTACGTGCTAGCCCCTTTCAATAAAATCTTTTTGCTTACACTAGGTTGAGTATGCTCCTTTTCACTACATAATCTGCAAGACAGCTATTTCTCACTTTAATAATGAGGCAAATAAATAAACAGCTTAAATTACTCATCTTCATTTAACATCAACCCCACTTTAAGTACAATTAAGTGAATCTGAAAAAGCACAAGTAGCAGCCCAACTCACAAGGTTCTCACTGTTTCAGAGCAGGTGATTTCACTGTCCTTATCGGTTCTCCTGACTCCAGCAGTGTTCACACACCAGCAGGTGGAGGTGCCATTGCACTGCTTGGCTTTAAAGAGCCCTTTGTCATCACAGTCAGGGTCATAGAGCCCGTCGTTATTCTGGATTGCGCCCTCCGGTTTCACTCTCCTCCCAGACTTTGAGCCGGTCATTTCTGCCTTCATCACCAAACATTTGGCAGCCACTGGAAAGGAAACTTAATGTCAAACTAAAAGATCACTGCAGCTTTGTGCTTAAGGAACAAATTACCCTGAATTCTGAACTCCTAGGACCAAGGATTATTGAAGACTTGTATGTTTTCACTGTCTCAAGATAAAAAACTTCAGATATGCCAAGGGGATGGCAACTGAGATGGAAAAATGCACAAAAATATGTAAAAATAAACTAATATAATAACATAAAAAAAACTTCAGATATGATATAATTGCAACAAAATAGCATGCTTCAGATTTGATCCAATAAAATGCGTGCCAACTTAAGACATAACCATCGGAGAAGAGTAAGGCAAACTGAAGTTTAGAGGCAAAGAGGACATTCTACTCACGTTTGGAGCAGGTGACGGTAGTTTGTGTGCCGATCGAAGTGCACCTGCATTCGCCACTCCCGGTCTTAGAGCAGTTTGTAGTCAGTTTATAGTTTTCACAGGAGCAGTCTGGAGGGAGGGAAAAAATCCCTTCAAAAAATCCCTTCACTCTCAACTCTGCTATCCCAGCTACATTTTGTTGTGTTTAAAATGCCAAAGTTACATGAAAGAAAAGCTTTAAAAAGTAGTCCTGAAATGTTTTATTTTTCAACTGTAATTTTAGTGGCTGGCACGATGCTAAATATATATATTACACAGACATAGTCTAATTTACTTGCATTCTGGTTTTGAGTTTTTAATACAGTCCTTTAAGCACTTTTTTTAATGGAGGTAACTGCCTTATAACATAAATTCATGTGTGCATCACTGAAAGTCTGCATGTGTTTACACTACATTTCAATTCACCTCAAACAGTCTAACGCTATTCTTCACCATACATTGTTCCCTTTGTTCTGATTCCTTACCAACTCCTTGTTGGTAAGGAGTAACCACTAATTGGTCTTATAGTCCAAAAATTTGTTTGGACTTTCAAAGTTTATTTAGTTTATTTCTTCCAAATATAGCTTTATGATATTCCCAATATCAAGTTCCTTTTTCTTCCGTGTTTGTCAGTCACGGACTCCTTCTACAAATCAACAATTCCAATTCTAGGCTCTGTGAATAACTTGTAATCCAACACCCCTCCCACCTCATTTTAAAAAATAACAGAAGTTTGCTTTGGGACTTAATGGGAACATATCCAACCTTTGGACTATTTTATATCCTAGAAAAATTATATTTTATACCCTAGAAAAAACTGTAATTCAGTTGTGGGGGGGCACCTCTGTATGTGAACTTCCTAACTAAATTAAATCCTAATTTTGAAAGTGATACTAACCGATGTTAATAGTGGCACTGTTGTTAATAGTGACACCTGAAAATGTCATCATTTTAACTTCAAATTGCAAAGTTCGTCTAATCCCATTTGAGTAGCTATCAGTCTACAATCATTCGAAACTGGAATGACAAGCCAAAGAATTTTCATCTTGAGCCTTCATACCCCAAGTAGGCTTATGATTTTTCCTATGTAAATGTAATATGATTATTATTAATTCACCCAGCAAATTAATTTCTCCTCTCACAAAAGGAGAAAGGATTGCAGCTGTCCTAAACTACACTAGTGAAAGCACTTAAAAAGACTTTCAGAACACAGCTCATAGCATCTATCATTATGTTAAAGCAAATTAAGACTATGATTTTAGCCTCAGACTGAAGCTAGGGTTGGTTAGACTGCATTTATTTTAAAGGGTAATAAATTAGACCATAACCTCTTGGTGGGAGCTTAAAGGCTTTCCCAGCATGTTCTGGGCAATTGCCATTTCACTTCCAGCCACCATTTTGAAGCTGGCACCGGCTGTTGATTTAGCCCTTGAACCACCATAGGTTCCTGTCCCACTGAGCTGTAAAAAGAAATTTGCAGACTTTTTAGATAATTAAGCAGAGAAAAGCAAATTTTATTCAAGGAAGTAAGGGCACAGTTGCCAAGAAAGGGCAAAAGACGCCATTATGGGCCCATGTCCAAGGGGATCTTTAAACTTTTTTTCTTAAGATCCCACAATTTTGTGATTGGCTCTTCCTCCTGGTGGCTATGCTCCTCAAGGCAGATGTGCCCATTTTCCCTGCTTTTAGTGTTTCTCTATTTCTTTTTTCCCTGTCTGAGGTCTCCTAGAATTTACTATTTACTGTCCTCATCAGCCCTCCGGAATTTCTCTGCCTTTATCTTAGTGGCCTCCCTTAATTCCCCTGAAGTCCCTCAATGCACTGCCCCTAAAGCTGCCTGCTTAACCCTGACTTGCCCTGGAACTCCATTTTACAAATAAATCAACAGGTAGCAACCAAGATGTTCATTTCAGGGTAAATAAAACTGGCTCAAGCTGCGTGTCCAACATTTGGATAATGGTGCAACCTTCCACTCTGTAGATTGCTCTGTCACCATTTAAATCGTGTTTTTCAAGACGAAGGCGGAATGGAAAAACCCTGGATACTATGGAGGGTGGGAGGAGGAAGAGAACATCGACATACATACATCTATGAGGCTACATTTAGCGTACTGGTTTAGTAAGTATACTCAACTGTAGTTATGAGGTTTTCTTGAAGTGGTAGGAATTACGGGCTTTTCGCTCCTTATGGTTATCGTTATTTCTGGGTTCCCCACAGTAAACTTGGCGTTACTAACACGAACCTTGGGAAAGGGCTCGTAGTCGTGTAACAGGGTGGTCGATTAGTCACAGCCCAGGAGGGCTTTCTCCCACCAGCAGGTGCATAGCGGCCTCCGGGCTGCTACCAGTCCCCGCCCCAGACCCATATCCGGGGCAGGCCGAGGTGCGGCGAGGGGCGGGCGGGAAGGTGGCTATCGCGGGGGCCCCTTTGCCCTCTGGCCCTCGAGCCGCGAAAGTGGGCGCGCCCCGGCGGGAGGCGCAGGTCCTGCGACCCCGGAGGCGTCCAGGGCCTTCCTCCCCGCTCGTGGCCGAAGGAGGCCCAGGTCGGGCCGCGAGTCCCCCAGAGTCCTGCCCTGGTCATCTCCCCAAAGAGCACAGAGCAACAAAGCCAAGCTGCACCCTCTGGCGCGCGGCCGCCCGCGCC